GAGCTCCCTCATGGAGCTAATATTTTGAGCTTAGGAGGAGCTGACATTAGACATCTGCTATGAGATCAGGAACCTACTAGCCACAAATGTGTCTTACCTGAAACAGAAGAGTTACCTGAATCACTACTAACCCAGGAACTCTCCTGGAATTTTATTTTTAGAAAATTCAATTTCTAATACTGGTTCATTTTCCTATCATTTGTCTTTTTCTCCTCAGAAAGAGAAATAGCCAAAACAAAACAAAACAACCCAAATAACTTCTGGTTAATTGATAATTCTGATTGAATTCTCATGAGGATTATTTCATAATTTGTAAGGTGGTATTAGAATTAATGAAGAGATATCACTTGCCAAGAAATGGAGACTTGGTCAAGTCAGGAACAAGAATTGATCTTAAAGTAATTAGGACACCCCCAATACCTAAAAAAATTTATGAATATCCTATCTCCCTGAAGACCTGGTCACAACATTCCTGGGCAAACCTCAAGAATAAGACACATATCCCCGGCCACTAGGTGACGACCTGCCCCTTATTGCTGTGGTTTTGTGATTTGGGGCAAGTTATTCAGCCTCTCTAGGCTCTGTGGCCTCTCCTGCAGGGACATGTAAAGGATGACCTCTTTGGGTCACATGACTGAGCAAATAATGTTCTCAAAGCCCTGAGCACGATGCCTCGTGCAGGGTGATCATTACTCCCGGCAGAAGCGGGGTGAGTGTGGGTGGTTGGTTCTCTTCTTTCTAGGGCAGTGGGGCTGCTTATCAGCGCACATGGGCACTTTTTATAGTCTCATAACTCCAGGAGAGGAGATCACATTTTCTTGCAAACAAACTTATGGTTTATTAGATTTTATTGAATCTTTAAAGTGAAAAGTGCATTAAATCATCTCCAACCGCCACACTATACTGAGGGAAAAGCTGAGCACCAGGGAGGTCGTGTGATCTGGTACTAGACACAATGTTTAGTTTCCTTTTCTTTCTTTTTCCTTCCTTCCTTCATTCCTTCCTTCCATCCTTCCTTCCTTCCCTCCTTCAAGATTTTATTTATTTATTTGAGAGAACAAGAGAGCATGCACATAAGCAGAGGGGAGGGCAAAGGAAGGGTAGAGGAAGAAGGAGAGCAGACTCTTTGCAGAGAGCCTGATCTGGGGCTCCATCCCAGGACTCTGGGATCATGACTTAAGCTGAAGGCAGATGGTTAACCAACTGAGCCACCCAGGCACCCCAGTGTTTAGTGTTCTAAAGTCAGGCCTCCAAGACCTAATTAACCCATAATGTGCTGTGGGGTCTTCCAGAGTACGAATGTAGGACTACCTGTATTAGAATCATACGAGGAGCTTTTTAATATGCAGGCTCATGGGTCCTATGCCTAAACTTTTATCAGAATAGCTAGAGATGGGGCCTGGGAACCGCATTTCATAGCAGGCCACGCTTGAAATCAAGTGCCACTCATGTAATGATCAACATTGATCATTTATGGTATTATGAAGTATGCTCACACCTAGTGCCACCTGAGGACTTGGTCACAGTGGATTTGCAATAAGAACATAAATCCAGGGCTGTTGAACTACCTAACAGTTTCAGCTATTGTTTCTATTAGTTTCTGCCATAATTATCCAATAAATTGTCTCTATGCCAGGATAAGCTCAGCTCTGTGGCTCTTGTGAAATTGCATAACTCAGTGTGGCTCTCTGCTCTTGCTCAAGAAATGACTCAAAAGATATAAAGCCTTAGAATTGTGCTGGGCTCATACTAAGCACTCAATAAATGTTAGTCATTAGTATTATTTCTCATCAGAGCAGGATGAACATCTGCAGAGGGGTGATGCTGGTTTCTCAGACATGAACTTAGATCATAGGATCAGCATTCTTTTGACTAGCAAAGATCGTTGGAGACAGTCATTAAGATAAAGGAATGGAAGATCTCATTAAGACTCTCTATGTGGTACAGATCATACTCTTGTTGTTTTTGTTATTTTTATCTGTGAAGAGAATGTAAGATCAGATATGACTTTACTTTTGACAGTTTAAATTGTTGTTTGCATCAGCAGAAACTACTCTTATTGGAATGATGGTTCATTTAGGGATTTATTTATTCTCCTACTGACAAATACACAGAGAACACACAAGTACATAGACTGCCATTGCATACCTTTTAGGTTGCTGTAAATTATTTGTGTATGTCTCAATTAGAAAAGAGATACGGTTTTCAGGAACATGGAGAATTTTAGCCACAAAAGAATTCTTAGCTGTCACAGGTAGTGTGTAATTGAGAGACTGGGAAAAGAATAAGGAAGTAGTTTCTCCAGCATGATGAAAGGGAAAGGTGGTTCTTTTTTCCTTGAACAAAACATTTGTTAAATGCAAAAGAAAATTACCATGGACTCTGGAGCCAGGAATCCACGATGCTAACATTTTGCAACAACATCTTTTATCTGTAGATCCCACAACGGTTTATGGACACTAATTAAGTCTCACTGTACTCATACACTTCACAATGAGTTTTCTTTACTTCTTTTTTGCTGAGGAAAACCAGGGCAGTGAATGTTTAAACTCATTCGAAGTTACAAAGCTGGGATTTGAACCCGGTGCTTCTGGCCCAGAGAGGAAGGGGACCCACATGGTGGGTTTGACAGTTGACGCATAGCTGGATATTTTGTGGAGCAGAGAGGGATCTCCAGTGACTCTGAGAGGAAGGAGCATGGTAGGAGCTCAGGGATGGTCTAGGGGACCAAGAGTGGGGACCAGAGATCTTGATGGACAGTGAAGGCGCATGTACCTGGTGTCTCTGATCTTGATACTCCTTCTGCCTTACTTGCTATGCTCCTGAACAGACACACTGGGATTGCAGTTCATACTGATTGCTCTAGTTTTTTGAGACTGTGAGCCTTGAGGGAAGTATGTGTGTGCCAGAGGGGAGTGGCCTGGTATTGGTGGGCAGAGGTGAGTCACTTACCAAGTGAAGCCACAGTAGGAGGGAAATCAAAGGGCAACAGGTTACGTTACTCCCTCTCACTTGTAATTTTGGCCCTCTTTAAAAAGGAAGAGAAAACAAAGTACAGGCTAGGTCTGAGATCAATCTCAGATGGCCAATTATGACAGCTACACCTTAGATATATTCAGGCCCTGACTTGTCCAGGACCCAAAGTAGATGTCTGGGTCTATCAGAACTCTTGAATGGAGACTGGAAATAATTTGCAATAACTCACTTTCTCTCTCTCTCTCTATCCTCTCAAGGGGAATGTTCAAAGATTACACAGGAGGACGCCTGGGTGTCTCAGTGGGTTAAGCCTCTGCCTTCGGCTCAGATCATGATCTCAGGGTCCTGGGATTGAGGCCTGCATCAGGCTCTCTGCTCAGGGGGGAGCCTGCGTCCCGCCCCCTTTCTGCCTACTTGTGATCTCTCTCTGTCAAATAAATAAATAAAAATCTTTAAAGATTATGCAGGAATATTTTCATATAAATGGAATAAGAGTCAGAAAACAGGGATGACCAGAAAGCCCCAGGAAAGACAGATGCAAGTGCTGGGAGCCAAGTAGGAATCTCACAGGCTCAAACACTATTATATTTCTGAGATGTAGTCAAATGTGTAAAAATAGTAGCAAATTATTTACCACTTTAAAGAGAGTTACATACCAAATTGCAGGGGAATTTATTAGCACATCTAAATCTGAAAAAGAAAGGTTATAGACTTACGAGGCTAAGTTGCAAGTAGGGAGCAGAAGGGAGAAAAATTTTAGTTGCTATTGGTTTTTATTCCAAATTGCATCAGTTCATTAGAAACAAATAGTTTATAAAGGACTTAGTCCATACTCTAGTAGAAAAATAATACAGGGGTGCCTGGGTGGCACAGTTGGTTAAGCGGCTTCCTTCAGCTCGAGTCATGATTCCAGGGTCCTGGAATCGAGCCCTGCATCGGGCTCCCGGCTCAGCAGAGAGCCTGCTTCTCTCTCTCCCTCTGCCTGCTGCTCTGCTTACTTGTGCTCTCTGTCTCTCTGTCAAATAAATAAATAAAATCTTAAAAAAAAGAAAAATAATACAAATCAGAAGTATATCAATTTTTTTTCATTCAATAATATTAAAATATCTACAGGTAGCAGTTAATCTGGCTATGTATATGTGGATGTTTACAGACAAGATTATGCTTACACTATGTTTTGGAGAATGGTAAGATGATATTACCTTTACTAAAAACAGACGGCAAAAATGGTCTATGTGACATTCTATTATCCATGTTTTAACAAGCTACAATGTAATGGTAATTGATGTTCATGATTTGAGGGTACTGAAAGATCTCCAAATATCCTCTGGGTTATCAAGGAAAGATAAAATGGTATTTGATACAGTTCTCTACAACTTTGATATAGTTTTAATGGTGAGTTATTTTATGGCCTTTGAATATTTGGGACGTCACATATGATATAAAAACGAGTTCTCTTAATCGGAACATGCAATTAACTGGAAAAATCTCTAAACATACACTCTAAGAGACAATTTGTGAAAAAGGAAACGTGGTTAGGGTAAAACATTTCCTTTTTTTATAAACCTTGACCTGGTTATGTCCCTCACCAGTTACATAGGGTCCCTTGGGCCTCAACTTTCCGCAGGCGGTTGGGTCTCTATGGTAATGCACCCGGCTGCTGAAGCGGAACACAGGTGACAAGGCAGAGGCAGGCGCTGGGCGGCTGTGGGGAGAAGGTCTGGCTGCCCAAGGCTATGCAGGGTCTTCTTGAGCATCTAGGATTGACTGCTTTGCCTTGCCAAGAATCTGCAGAACCTCCTCCTGCCAGCCTGCCTCGACTTCCCAGCTCTCCTGGTAAACGCGCTCTGCACACCACTCTGTGGCCACTCAAGAGGCCAGGGTACTTCTGATGCCTGGCTGCGCTGGGACTGGTGGCTCCCAGTGGGACCCCACTTCCGTTGATGCTTCAGCTTCATCCTTCCTGCGCGCTCAGAGGCTCTGACTCAGGTGAAAGGAGTCCATTTTGCCAGCCCCCCGCTGTCATGCAGCCGTTCAGCATCCCCGTTCGAATTACACTCCAGGGTGGCCGGCGGCGCCAGGGCAGGTAAGTCGCCACCAGAACCTCTCTTGCTGATTAAGTGGCTGAAGGGTGGCCATAACGAGTTGTCAAGGTAAGGTTTAGGTTTGGTCTTCATCCTCTGAGGATGCCCACTTGCCAGGCCTCCCAGAAGATCCTGGGGGCATCTTCGTGTCTTCCCCAGAAGTCCTGGCATCAGGAGGCTGCAACTTTTCTTGTTGGTTTCCTCCTCCATTTGGCTTGCAAATCTTGAGGCCAGGGACTTCTTTTTTTTTTTTTTTTTGACTCACCTGTGCTTCCCTGGCACTAGAACATGGCCCAGAACATGTTAGGTGCTCAGTAAATATCTCTTGGTTGCATGAAGTGTCTAGGAAACTATCACCAGCACTTGGTTGCCTGGTGAAACATGCTTGGGCCCTGGAATCACAGGCCTGGATTCAAATCTCAGTTCCACTCCTTAACTAGCTATTTAACTGTGGGCAAGTCATATAATCTCTGTCTGCCTCATCCCCTTGTCCATAAAGTGGGGATAGTAACAGTCTCTACATGCCTTGGCAGGCTTTCTATGTACTACTCTCGACACTATCCCATTACCCTCTAAGGGAGGAAGTGAGATAGGCAATCTTTTCTTTTCTTTTTTTTTTTTTAATATTTTATTTACTTATTTGTCAGGGGAGAGAGAGAGAGAGCGCGCACAAGCAGGCAGAGTGGCAGGCAGAGGCCGAGAGAGAAGTAGGCTCCCTGCAGAGCAAGGAGCCTGATGTGGGACTCATCCCAGGACCCTGGGATCATGGCCTGAGCCGAAGGCAGCGGCTTAACCAACTGAGCCACCCAGGCGCCCTGAGAAAGGCTATCTTAAGGAGCTTTTTTTTTTCTCCCCAGAGGAATGCAAAACAGGGGGGCTGTGAGCCTTCAGTGAAGTTACAGTTCTGTCTGCTTCTGGGTTTGGGTGGGTGGAGCTGTTAGAACTGGATGCTGATATTGAAAGAGGAGCCTTGCTTCAGGGTGTTTGAAAAACAGCATACTAAAAGCTTGTCGGGGTACATTTCTCAGCCAAGTTCACACACTTTATCTGGAAATGTGGATGGTTTGTTAGTAGCTCAAGTGGAGTCGGGAGCTGAATAATTGGAAACAGTAAAGACCACAGTGGTCATCACATCACCCACTTCCAACATCCTGTAACGACAGGCATGGGTGTTCAAGAAACAAAGGAAAGTGAGATTAGGGGTTTGGGCGGTGGTGAGGGTTTGAAGAGGAAGACACAGACAGAACAAGGAGGAAAGAGATAGAGGCAAAAACTCTTCTCTCCTTGAAATGCACTAATGCTTTTGTGAAAAGACAATTAAAGTGAATTACTATATGGCAGAAAATCAAATGACGAAAGGCAAGGGAACAAGTTTTAATACCCTGTTCATAACACAATTAACTAGACATAAGAGCAGTTGTGTTCTCCCCAAAGCAAGACCGTCTCCCATTTTCATTGGTGAGATGCACAGTCAGATGATTGCCCTAGCCTTTTGCTGAACTTTTATGAACCATGCCGACTTTACTCAACTTCATTTGGTGCTTCAAAAGAAGTTGTTAAACAATTTTGTAATTAAAAAATAGAAGGATAAAAATGATTACCCACAGCTTCTCTGTAACACAAACAAATTACAGGGAAATACGAATTTAACATCCCCATGCTTTGAAGTTACATACACATGTGAAAGGAGCATCAGATGAATTACCAAACTTTGAGGAAGAGCAGCATCTTTCTAAGGAACCCTTCTTGACAAGCTACAGTGTTGGAGGGAGAGGCTCCTGGCTTCTGCAGGGAATCTCAGCCAGAGGAACGTGTTCAAGCTCTTTGAAATCAAGTTTGCCTGAGGCTAAGACAGAAGGTGCCTGGAGCAATGGGTGAAAGAGGGCTGGTGGGAAAGTCCGTTCAGTTTGCCGGGAAGCCACAGAAGGGGGTGGGTACTGCCAACCAGTGTGTTACCTGGAGATGTCTAAGACATCTCCAGGTAACACACTGGTTGGCAGTAGGGAAATGTATTGCTGGCAAAAGGAAATAAAAATTCTATTCACTCATCTTACTGGCTAGAGAGCAAAATTAGATCGTTCTTTGTTTGTTTTAAGATTTTTTCTTTCTTTTTGACAGAGAGATTGAGAGGAAGAGAGAGCACAAGTACGCAGAGAGGCAGGCAGAGGGAGAGGGAGAAGCAGGCTTCCCACCAAGCAGGGAGCCCGATGTGGGGCTCGATCCCAGGACTCTGGGATTGTGACCTGAGCCAAAGGCAGACGTTTAACCGAATGAGCCACCCAGGTGCCCCCCAAATTAGGTCATTCTGAAATACTTTGAGGTCCTTGGATGAAAGGTGCTTATAATACCACAAAGTTAATTACAGGGATGTTTATGGTCTCAGAGAACTGGAAAAACCCCAATATTCAACTATAAGGAACTAGGTAAGGAATTGATGGGATATCCAATTGATGGAATATTATGGAGCCAGTAGAATTATGGGTCACAAAGAATTGCTTGTGACATAAGAAAGGGCTTACTATGTTAAGTGAAAAGACGAGATTAAAAAAATCCCACTATGTCCAGAATGATCTTGTTCTATTTAAAATAATAGAGAGGATGGGGAATAACACAGTAAGTGAGTAGAAATTATCTCTGAGTGGTAGAATTGTGGGTGATTTTTGTTCTCTTCTCTCGACTTTTCCACATCTTTCAAGTTTCGTAACATGAGCGTGTAAAAAGTACATTACTTTCATGAATTCTTTGACATTTCTTGAGGCTTTCTTTATGGCTCCGTTTGTGGTTAGGTCTCATAACTGTTGCTTATATGTTTGAGAAGAATATATATTCTGTAGGGGATAGTGTTCTGTATTTTCATTTAGATAAAGCCTGTTACTTACTTTGCTCAAATCTTTTCCTCGCTAATTTATATGGTTGAGCTGTCAATCACTGAGGGGTTATGCGAAAATATCTCCTCATTTGTCAGTGGATTTTGTCTGTTTCTTCCTATAGTTCTTCAGTGAGGCAATGCTATTAGGTACATGTAAATTAGTATTGTTAGCTCTTCCAGGTGACTCTTTAATCAATATTATCATCTTCTTTACTTCTAAAAGGCTTTTTAACCTGAAGGTTCACATCAGCTTGCTTTTCTTTAGACTTTGCCTGACAAACTTCAACCTTTTTACATCTGCGTGTCTCATGTGGCTTTTTTTTTAAGATTTTAAAAAAAATTTTATTTTTTTTAGTGTTCCAGAATTCATTTTTTATGCACCACAACCAGTGCTCCATGCAACACGTGCCCTCCTTAATACCCACCACCAGACTCACCCAACCTCCCACCTCCTCCCCTCCAAAACCCTCAGTTTGTTTCTCAGAGTCCACAGTCTCTCATGGTTTGTCTCCCCCTCCGATTTCCCCCATCTCACTTCTCCTCTCCATCTCGCCATGTCCTCCATCTCACGTGATTTCTCTCAGTCTATTGACAATATTCCTGTCTTCTGGTTTCCATTCCTGTTATATAGAAGTGACATCTCAGCCTGTCATTCCTCTGCGGTTGATCTGTCTTTTTTGGGGGCTGCTTTTAAGATTTTTCTGTTGTGGTGTCTGTGTAATAACTCTGTGATGTGTCTAGATGTAGATTTCTTTATTTTATCCCACAGGGTTTATGTAATCTGAGGACTACGTTTTCATCAATTCTGAGATTTTATTATCTTTTTAAAAATATTGCTTCTGACTTATTTCTCTTATTTCTGGAATTCTGAATTGATCTTACTTTAGAGCTTTCCTATTTATTTTCCATGTTTCTTCACTTCACTTTAGTATTTTCCATTACAGAAACTCTGTGTCTTATACTCTGGCTGTTTTGCAGGTCCATCTCTCTGTTTACTAATTATCTGGATGTGTCTAATCCAAGGTTAAATCTGTCCATGGAGTTTTTATTTAAATTTTTTAATTTTTCATTTTCAGAAATTATATTTGATTCTTTTAAATATTGGCCTGGTCATATTGCAGAATCTTGCTCTTTTTGATATTTGTAATCCTTTCTTTCTTTCTTTTTTTTTTTTTTTTAAGATTTTATTTATTTATTTGACAGAGAGAGAGATGACAAGTAGGCAGGGAGGCAGACAGAGAGGGGGGAAGCAGGCTCCCTGCTGAGCAGAGAGCCCAATGCGGGGCTCTATCCCAGGACCCTGAGAATCACGACCTGAGCCGAAGGCAGAAGTTTTAACCCACTGAGCCACCCAGGCGCCTCCCTTTCTTTGTTTCTTTAAACATATCACAGATACATTTTTTTAAAAGATTTTATTTATTTATTTGACAGACAGAGATCACAAGTAGGCAGAGAAGCAGGCAGAGAGAGAGAAAGGGAAGCAGGCTCCCTGCTGAGCAGAGAGCCCGATGCGGAACTCTATCCCAGGACCCTGAGATCATGACCTGAGCTGAAGGCAGAGGCTTTAACCCACTGAGCCACCCAGGCGCCCTTCACAGATACATTTTTATATACTGTCCAAATATCTGAAGTTTTTTGTGGATCTGAATCTGTTTTTTCTCACTCAAAGGCCCTTACTGTGTTTTATGACTTTTGAATGAGAATACATAGTCCTTGAAACTTCATAGGATTCCTTTGGGGCCTCGATTCAGTAGACTGCCTTCTCATTTTGTTGATGGTTTCCTTTTCTTTGCACAAAGATTTTAGTTTGATGCAGTTGTATTTGTTTATTTTTGCTTTTGTTTTCCTTGCCTTTGGAGTTAGATTCAGAAAAATACCATTAAGACACATACTAAAGAGCTTTTCATCTATGGTTTCTTTTAGAAGTTTTATGGTTTCAGGTCTTATATTGAAGTTTTTAATCCATTTTGAGTTAATTTTTGTATATGGTGTAAAATAGTGGTCCAGGTTCATTCTTTTGCATGTAGCTTTCCTGTTTCCCAAAACCATTTGTTGGGGAGACTGTCCTTTCTCCACTGTATATTCTTGTCTCCTTTGTAATAAATTAATTGACATATAAACATAGGTTTCTTT